GACCAACTGCGGTGCAGGACCAACTGATTTGGCTGATGCCCATTCTCTTCCGAGTGCAAACAGTGCGCTTGTGATTTGGCACAATCAGAGCTGACATAAGCGGGGTAGTGTGAGAAATTGAGGAGAATGTGACGCCAGGGCAAAGCAGGGGGATTTAGACCTATCCACTTCACTCTTTCTCCTCTGCATTAGCCATCGACATCAGAAGATGGGCACAATGAGTTGATGAAATCAAGGAGGACAACGAAGAAGACGAAGGCAGGTGATGGAGATGTCTTCGATGAGGAGTACCATCCTGTGGATGTAATGACCCGTCTTCAGAGTGACAGTCATAAAGCTGAAAGTGGAATTAGTGAATCAGAGCGTGTATCAATTGATCGAGCTCGAAGAGATGTGATTCAGGGTAGGTTGTGTTTGATATCTCTAGCCGAGAGAGTTGTGCCCATGCATTGATGCCATTTTGCAGGATTTTATTTTCGAACAACAGTGAACCCAAAGTAGCAAATTATTGTCAGAAACTTAAAGCAGTCCATTGCATAGTTTTTAGTCTTCTAGTTTACCTTAATGAAGGCTCGATAAGCAGTTAATCGGACTTCCTGTGGGAAGTCGGAACAAGAAATTTGGTAGAATTCATTTAATTTTTTGAACTTTGATGGTAGCAGTTCGGCTTACACAATATGTTTGTCAACTCCCTTCAATTGCTGCAAATTGGAATTGGAATCGGCATCATTACTACCAACATTTGTTGGGTTAGCTCAGAGTGGCTGTCGGAGAGCATATGAAACAGTCAATTGGGGTTTTAAATCAAAGCCCTGCTGGTTTTCGTCAGTACGGATGGATGCGTGTTTCCTTCGGCTACAAATGCCCAAAATGTGCACCTTCATGGAAACCAAAATGTGATTTATGTAGCGTCATCCCCTTCTACCTCTTCTCTCTTGATAGATCGTGTGTGAAGGGTGTGAGAACTTTGAGATTCCTTGTTTAACATTGTGACCACAAAAAGGCGGGTGGTGTAGTAAGAGAGGAGGCAAATCGTCCAGTCTTCGCTCTTCCAGAAGCAGACGCCTCCATTGTGGAATGCCGGTTGAGAGGCTGCTGGGTGTGAGGAAGGATGCCTGCTTCACGAGGCGCAGTAATACTTGAATCAGGCGTCGAGAGTGAGGAGAGGGAATCGTGGCAGCTATTCAAATGGGTTCTTTTTACTTTTGACTGCTAAATCGAAATGCGGTGTTGTCAGAGCGTGCTGTGTCATTTGTGAATCTAGTGGAGCACGCAAATGCGGTTTTGGCTAATTGTTACCGATTTAATCTCCACCTCACCTTTGTACAAAGCGTATCACTGCATCAGTGAAAAAAGTGCTTGTTTTGTGGTTGTGTTGTTCACTTAGTGAGAGTCTGGGTGAATGTGTCTACAATAGACGAACGTTTGTTGAAAAATAGCCATGAGTGATGAAACAGCGGGTGTCCACTGTGGGGTAAACGACCAGGAAAATCAGAATTAGGGGACAGAATTGGATGAAATGTTTGCATTACCTCGTCCTCAGTTTCTGTGTTCGCTGGACGATAATTCTTTCACTGAATGTCACCTTTAAAAGCCAAAAAAATTGCAATCACAAGTGGAATTTAGTGATTTTGGAAGTGAAGGTGTGATATCATCGAAGGTGACAAAGTCTATGCTTTTTCCTGCTCCACGAAGGCAAAGCAATGTGCCCCAGTGCAATTCACTGCACCAGTTCAGCCTCTTCGTAATTTCTTAGCGTTTCATTCATGCGGTTGCGCTAAGTCGACTCGCGAAGCAAATGTCATGCAATGCACCAGTTTTTGTCGAACTACTTTTTGCTTACTTGGCCACTCAAAATGGAGTGATCACCTGACAGTTGGCTGCTGTTCAGCGTCGGATGTGGCCGCTGAAACATTTTTGTGCGAATCCACTAAGGTCACCTCTGCTTGACACAAATCATTTGTGGGGCAGATTAATTGCCGAAGTGTTGGTGTGTCGCGACGACAAATGCTCAGCATTTCCGAATTGTCTCTGCATTTTATACGCATGTATTGACCAGTCACTGCATTGTCTTTCCTTGTTTTTGAGACAAGGCCTCGCGAGTCATAATCCTTTAGGCGTCTCTTTGGAATGAATGTTGTTAAGAGCAGTTCTTTGTGCCCCAAGGGTTTGCATGCTCGTTGATATGACCAACAAGTGTATTGAATGTTGCCAATAATGAAAATCGGAGGTATTTGAAGTTGCCAAAAATAAGAAACGTCTCTTGAAGGCCAGTTGACTTATTCACACTTGACGACCAATAAAGGGAGGATTGATGCCGCTTGGTAAAATGAGAGGCGGAAATTGTGCACCTGTTTTGTCCAGCCTTAAGTTGGCAAAGTGTATTTCTGCTGTGGCTGTGACGTCGTGCAATCCGTAGTCTAAGCAGTCAACCAAC